TTGAACCAAGAGTTTTCTGCCCTGTCATAAAGCTCGTGAGGCGCGTGCTCCGCCCCTCGTGGGCACTGACGGCACGGACTCGCCCCGCAGGTACGTGAGCGGCACCTGCACGGAAGGCAGCGGCTGCAAGTTTGCCCACGGCACCGCCGAGCTCCGCGAATGGGAAGAACGGAGGGACGCCCTAAAGATGAAGCTCAGCAAAGCCAGAAAAGATCACTTAATCGCCCCAAACGATAATGACTTTGGAAAATATAGTTTTTTGTTTAAAGATTTAAACTAATATGCTGGCTTTTATGTATGTCACCTAATCAGAGCATTGACCAGAAAAATGGCAAGTGTTCTCAGGCACGTGGCAGAGAAGCCGCAGACTTTCTGCTTGTATTGGCGTCTATGGTCCCTCTGGAGCAGCAACCCACAGTAGGTAGGAAAACGGGCTGTTTGACAGGTCCGGCCACGCTGTCGTGGCACCGCCGGCAGCACGCGGCGGAGTGACCACTCCCCCACAGCCACCTGTTGAACAGACTTTTGGACGAAGCGCGTTGGGGAAGAGGGTGAGGTTGTGTCTGAGGCGACTCCTTAAGTCGGTCCTTCAGACCCGAGCCGCGGTGGTGAGAGAGTAGACACGTGTCCTGGGGTCAGAGCACATGATGGATGGGACTCTTCACAGGTTTTAAATGAAACGACTTTGTTTCATATAATAAAGTTTGCTACTTATCTGTACGTAGGTTGCTAAAAAGGATTTTCTTAACTCAGATTTTAAGCCAAATAACCATTTAACACTAGTACATGTTAAATGGGGTATTTTTCTGTATTTGTATGTTTCACTATAATAAGGGAACTAAGGATAATGTGCATTGAGAATATTTTGAAAAATAATCAGTCGACTCAAATTTTATTTCTTGGTCTTTTGCTGTTTAAATGATGATTTTGAAAGATTACACTTGTACTGTTGGTATCGTGTAGTGTATGGACCAATATTGCCTGTAATAAACATTTTATATATAAAGGCCTTTCATGTTTTCATGTCGTCCTTTGCCCACAAAGAATTATTAAACCTGGGTCCTAGAATCACAAGGTTTGATTTTTCTCAACACTTTTATTTAAGCAGTTAGTGGCGGTGTGCAAATTAGACATGAACGCGACTTTTCAAGCTGTCAGCTCTCCCCCAGATTTGGGGTGATAAGCAGTTTGTCTCATTCAGTGTCATGTGAACTCTCGTGGGGCTCCTCAATGTTTCATTCAGGGGTGGGCTGTGGGCTTCCACAGACGACCGCCCTTGTTGGGTGCTGGGAGAGCACCGAAGCCATGGTCAGGACGGCCGGCAGAGACGAACGCAGAGCTAAGCTGTCCGGTGGGGCCCTGACCTGCTTCAGAGGCTGGGACCCAGCGAGCTGGGGGAGAAGGGCTGTCGGCAGGGCTCGGTGGGGGGGAAGGGGGGGCTGCTACGTCCTGAGGACTTAACAGTGCCGAGTCCTTCTTGGGGACGGGGGTCAGGGTGAGCGGCGGATCGACTTGGAAGACAGGGGTCTGCTGGGCCGTGATGTGACCAGCCTCCCAGCCATCAGGCAAAGCCACTTCCTCGCGACAACCTTGAATGAGCAGGTTCCGGGGGTAACAGAAAGGGTGTTTGTTCTGCCTGTGAGTCCAACCAGGGTGGAGAGGAGGGCACAGTTGCTGGTGGAAGATGAGACACACAGAGCATTTAGAAGGACCAGAGGCTGCAGATGGACGAGCGAGGCCCCGTGACTCCTTGAAGGACAGACTGGTTTCTCTCTACATGTGGGAGGGTAGTTGGGACCAGTTGTACTCGGTGGATGTGTTAGGAGTGCCTCTTATTTGCCAGATACTGTTACGAGTGACGTTTTCTATAGAAGAGACTAGTAGTGTTATTTTTCTACGAGGTCTCTTGAGGCTGAAGGCCTTCACTACCTTTTTTCTTCTTTGTACTTTGTTCCAAACTCCTTTTTCCATGGAGAATAGCAGACGTTAAAAAGCTGTCTCTGGTGCTCTGTTTCAGTTTACAGATTAAAAAGTTTGTTGTCTCGGGGTGCCTTGGGGGCTCAGTGGGTTAAGCATCCAACTCCTGACTTCCACTCAGGTTGTGATCTTGCGCTGGTGAGGTCGAGCCCTGAGTCGGCTCTGCGCTGGGCGTGGAGCCTGCTTAAGATCCTCTCCCTCTACCCCCCTCCCAGTTGCGTACACATGGGCTCTCCCTCTCTCTCTTAAAAAAATAAAAAGTTGGTTGTCTTAATGTTCAGAATCTAGGCTAGAAGCTTCAAGTTTGAGATCCTATGAGTGGCCAAGACTCTTCAGTGGGCCTGGAGAGGTTAGAATATAGGCTTCTTGTGGGTGTTTGTTGCCAGGAAAGAATGCTAATTTCTGGAAAGCCAGTCTGGGGTCTTGACACAAAGTCTTCAGGAAGCACAGCCACCCCTGTCCGCACTACCCAGGTTCAGGGCGTCGGCTTCCCTCCCACAGTGCCTGCCAACCTGCACCCTGTAAGGCACATCCTGTTTACTAGGTAGATGCTCAGAAGCTTTAAAAGTTAATGAGCCTATTTCTCTCTGGTTCTAAGAAAGGGTTTATATATATGATATATAATCTCCCTGCCCCCTTGTCCAACTCCACCAACTTGATCCTGGTATAAAAAGTGGCCCTGAAAGCTCACATGCAGGTTGATGTGGACAAGTTAAGGGCTGACATAGCCCTGAAGAGCAGTGCAGCCTGACCCTGACTGCCTGGGACCTTCAGAAAAGAATGTATCAGTTTCAGACGTACATTCTGGTGTCAGAATGGCAGCCAGATGTCTAGACAGAGAAGAAGAAATCAACCGCCTTTTTAAATCCAGGGTGGTTTCCTGGCCTGTAAGACCTCACCTTGCATTTGCCACAAGGTATTGTGGGTCTTAAGAGAGGACACACAGGCAGCAAAAGTTCTCTGAACCTTACAAAGTCCTGTCCACATGATGGGTGTCTTATAGAAGGGTAGGGGAGATTCTGTCCTAGCAACCTACAGGGAATTGGGACTGGGTAGCTTTAGACCATTTTAGTCATACACCATTGAACTCAAACCTACATGGACACGTCGAGGACTAGAAATGGTAAATAAGGTTAATATCAAAGAGCCTAGAAATACATTTTTTCTCTGCTGTCTATAAAAACAAATTCATATACGACAGTAATAGAACACTGTATTACCGGGTTTGTAATATGATAGGTGGAAAAGTAAATAATAGCACAAGAACAGGAAGAGGAAAGAGCTATATGGGAGAAGTTTCCAGATCTTACTGGACTTAAGATAGTATAAATCTGAAGTAGAAATGCTGAAAAAAAAAAAAAAAAGTATTCAGTGATCCCCAGAGCAACTGCTAAGGATAAAACAACAATAAAAAGGTTTAAGATCATTGAGCGGGGGCGGGGAGGGTGGGAGGGACCTTGGGTGGCATCTGACTCTTGATTTCGGCTCAGGTCACAATCTCATAGTGCACGAGGGATGGAGACCAAAGTCTTGGTCTCCTCTCTCTCTGCCCCTCTCAAAATAAATACACATTAAAAAAAATCATTAAAGGAATTCATATACTAGTAAATATCCACTTAATACAAAAGAAGGAAGAGGGAACCAAAAGACATTAGAGAAAAAAGACAAACAGGTGTCTTTTTTGTGACCAAACAGGCTGGTCATATCACGGCCCAGCAGACCCCTGTCTTCCAATAGGTGTAATAAGTTACCAGCGTGTTGGGCATCAGTGGTGGACACACTAATGTCCTGGCCCCCCTGGCAAGGTAGCCATTGGGGGCCACATTTTACATCCCTGGAAACCAGGCACCAGGCTCACACAGCTGCCCTGTGGCGGAGGGGAGGTCTCCCCTTAACTTTGGGTTCCCAGGGAGCCATGCTTTTTTTTTTTTTTTTGCCTGCATTCATACTGCCTTCTTCCCTCTGAGTTTTATTTGTCTAGTTTATAGTCATTTACAGAGATCTGCGGCCCCCAGAGCTGTTTGATTATTAGCCCCAGGCTCACTTGTCCCGCTCTCTCATGGAAAAGACTCCTGTCGCTCTCCAATCGCATTTCATCCCTGACTTGTCCTTGATAATCACAAAACGTAGTCAGAGTCGGAGAAGTGTCGAGAGTCAGCGGCGGGTGGGTGGAGCCGCTTGTGGGGTGGGGCGCCTGTCTTTGAGTCTGAATTTCTCACCTACTGGTTTTGTGGGCTCAGGCAAGTGACTCTTCCAAGCCTCGGGTTTTCTTCCCATCTGTGAAGTGAGTGCAGGGGCACACACGCTCCCCCAAGGGCGTGCCGGAGGGGGATGATGCTAGGCGTCACGACGCAGGTCGTGGACGCTGGGAGACTACACAGTAACCAAGATCAAGACCTCACTACAGGCCGTCCGCTTTCCATACATTCCCTCATTTATCCTCAAAACAACCCTGTGAGAGGTACTGATATTACCTCCATTTTACAGACGTGCAAACCGAGGCCGAGGGACCACCGCTGCCCGCCTCACTCCTGGGTCCTTGGACACTTCGCCTCTCTGCCCATATTTTCCTTCCAGAAAGAGGACATAATTAACGGCACCTATGTCCCCCGGGCACGAATGCCGTCGTCATTACGGCACCTAAAGTGCAGCAGGCCAAGCGGGGAACCCCCCGAGGGTCAGAGGTGCTACCTGCACACGCGCTGGGGGATCCCTGCGAGCACTTGCGAGGAGCTCGACCCGCGCTTGCGTCGACTCCGCGAGCGATGGGCGGAGCCTGTGGGAAGACCACGGGGCCGCAAGTGGCGCTTGCGCGGCGGCTGCCCGCGCAGGCTCCGTGGGCGAGGGGCGTGGCCCGCTCAGGGGCGGGGCCGTCAGGCGGTGTCGGCGTGCGCGCAGACTCCGTGAGCCGGGACGGGGTCCGCCGGGGGGGCCGGCCCTCCGGGAGGTGGCGGCGTCCGCGCAGGCTCCGCGGGCGGGGGCGGGGCCGCCTGCGCGGGGGCGGGCGCCGCGACGGCGGTGGGGCTGACGTGGAGGGTCCGGGTTAGCGGGCGCTGCGAGCTGCGGGATTGGGGAGCGACGGGCCGGGCCGGGCCCTGGGGCCCGAAGCGGCGGCGGCGGTATAAAGCCGGCGACAGGGAGCATGTAATGTCGGAATGCGGAGGCCGCGGCGGCGGCAACGGCAGCAGCAGCAGCGACGACGCCGAGGACGAGGGTGGCGGCGGCGGCGGCCCCGCGGGCTCCGGCTCCTTCAGCCCGGCCCCGGCCGGAGCGTCCCCGGCGGGCCGGCTCCGCCGCGGGCTGCGCGGCGCCTCCCTCATGGCGCGCCGGCGGCCCGAGCTGCTCTGCGGGGCCGTGGCGCTCGGCTGCGCGCTGCTCGTCGCCCTCAAGTTCACCTGCAGGTGAGGCGGCCCGCATCCCCGGAGCCCCGGCCGGCAGCGCAGGACGGGCTCCGGGCCCGCAGGGTCGGGGGTCGTTGCGGCCTTCGTGTGCGGCGCCGGGCTCGCCCCTCCGCGGCCTGCGGCACTTCCCGCCACTTCCCCCGCCGGCCGGCCGCACGGCCACCCCGAGAGGTTTTGGGGCTCTGCCCGGGGCGCCTTCCTCCCATGTTCGCAGCGAGGGAAGGGCGCCAGGTCCCGAGCTGCTTATCACCTGTTGGGGTTCCGTGGGGCTGCGCCTGTCACTTCTGCCCGGGCTGTAGGACCCTCGTGTAACACCCATTTTGTTCCCCTTCTGCCTCGAGGGTAATGGTTCACAGCTGTTGGAGTCCCAGAGCCCTTCGAGAATTTGGGCTCCCGTGGATCTCACGATGCTTCATCCACACGTGCTATGTGGGGGCGCTCCTCCGGGTGAGCGTTGAAAATAAAAATCCCTGTCTCCTTTCCAGTGGGTGGGACGGGCAGGAAACAATATCATACGATTTTAAAGGACTTCTGAAGTGCTGGGCAGGGAATGATAGAAGGAATGAGGCTGGGGCGGAGAGGCCTTCCCGACCAGCGACCAGGAAGCTCACACGGACGGGCCAGCGTTGGGAAGAGTTGAGGGAAGAGTGTCCCAGGGAGCGCACGTGCAAAGGCTGGAAGAGGCTTGTGTTTTCCTCCATCTGGAAGGAAAATGCGAGTAAGCTGGAGCACAGTGAACAGGAAAAATTAAACTTTATTTGCCTTTTTTGGGGAAGGTACACAGGTGCAAAGTTAGATGTAAACTTCAGGAGTACTGGGGGGCCTGGGGGGGTGCGATCAGTCAGGCATCTGCTTTCGGCTCAGGTCATGATGTCAGGGTTCCCTGAGTTTGAGACCCACATCGGTGCTGACAGCGCAGGGCCTACATGGGATTCTCTCTACCCCTCTCAGCCCTACCCGGCTTGGGCTCCGTCTCTCTCTCAAAAAAATAAACTTAAAAAAACTTCGGGAGTTCTTTTGATCTTCCAGGTCTTCACTATTTAATATCTCCTGGGACTTGCAATGTAGAAGTCTCAGTTGCAACCTGGAGTATTGGCTAAGAGGAAGATTTGCACTTGAACGTTTGTACTGAGTATATTCTGCATAGTAGGTGGCTTCCCCCTCCGCACCCCGCGCCCGCCCCCCCCACCCCCGCGCTGTCACAGAGGTGTCAGAGGTTTGGACATTTTAGTGGAAAGAGAACGGGTTATAAGCATCATTGAGGATTTGCCTAGTGCCGGGTGCTGTGCTGTCAGCTGGGCGAAAGGGGTGTCTGTCCACGGGAGGGCTCAGTGGTACCCCTGGCTTGTACCTCCTAAATCCCAGGTGCACACAGCCCTAGGTACGACAACCAGCACTGTCTCCAGACATCGCCAAGTGTCCCCTGGGGAACAAAATTGCCTCCTTGGGAACTGTAGCTTACATGAACACATTTACTCATTCAACCCATAATCCGAGAGCCTGGTATAGACTGTTTAAATCTCAATACCCAATAAAGCCCGGATACATTCTTAGCCTTTCAGTTGATCGATGAAGAAATTGAGCTTTGGTCGTGTTACAAAACTCACCACAAATCATACCCACCTATTAAGTGGCTGGCCTGGAATTTGAGTCCTTCGTTATCGGGTACTGGGCTCTTAACCTTGCGCTTTATCACGTGCTGCCCAAAGGAAAATGTGTCCGGTATCTTACAACATGATATTACAAAGTGTCACTTGGGTTCAAATTAGAAAGAGCGGACCCCCACCCCCGTCCAGGGGTAGGAAGCTTACTGACATCCGCTGTTCATGTGTAGAAATAACTTTGTTTGTTCTGAAAGAACATGACTTTAAATGGTTAAGGAAGCCCTTTCAGATTTGGGGAAGAAGGAATTGTGTAAATCTAGTTACCGGAGCCGGCAGAGCAAGGTCCCTTCCTGCTCTAGGCTAAGAGTGAGTCTAAGAAGTCAGGCTAGGAATGGCTGCTTGTCTGTCCGGCTACTGTGTGTGCCGCTGGCCAATCTGGACAGTCTGCCGTTCAGTAGACGGATTGATTCTGTAGAGTCTCGTTTGATTGAAGCATGTCATGATACTGTTATATACTCGAACATTTCTGGCCCCCTTTTTCCATTTGACTTTTAAGATTTTTGCATTAATGAAGACAGAGGCTTCCAGGAGAGCAGGGCTTTAAAAAATTTTATTTTTATTAACAGCTCCAGGCTTAAAATCAGTGACCGCCCTCTTAGTGTTTGTGGCTTAGCTGGGTTCAAACCAGGTAACATAAAGAAGGTTGATTTAGGGATGCTGGCTGGCTCAGTGGTTGAGCGTCTGGCTTTGGCTCAGGTCATGATCTCAGCAGTTTGAGAGTTCAAGCCTCACATCTGGCTTGCCACTGTCAGCGTGGAGCCTGCTTCAGATCCTCTGTACCCCTCTTCCTCTGTCCCTCCTTTGCTTGCTCTCTTTTTCTCGAAAAAAAAAAAAAAAAAAAGGTTGATTGGGGGTTGAAACAGTAATTGTGCATTTTGGGGCCTTTAACTTTTTTTTTTCCCTTCCCATAGAGGAAGAGAGAGAGCACGCTCGAGCAGGGGAGAGGAGCAGAGTGAGAGCGAGAGAGAGAGAGAGAGAGAGAGAGAGAGAGAGAGAATATCTTAAGCAGGCTCCATGCTCTGCTCAGAGCCTAATGCGGGCGGGGGTCCATCCCATGACCCTGGTATCATGACCTGAGCCGAAACCAAGAATGACCCTTTAGTCTTTATCTTACCTGCCTTTCTCTGTAGTGGATCTCCATAACTTCATCCTGCTCAGCTTTCCTTTCACCCTGATTTTGGAGGGGAAAAAAGCCGTGTGTCTGTATCTATATATGTACGTGTGCATATATTCATTTTGTTTTATTGCTTTTTGTAATTTCAAAGCTGCTTCCGACCCTCTTTGGAAGGAGGTGTAGGGGTGTGTGTTTCATATAAAATTTGGGAGCTGCGATAGCCTGTTTTGTTTGCAACCAGCCCTTAAGTCTTTTGTACCTGAGACTTAGCCTTCAAAGCTACAGGAAATCTTTGATCTAGATACAGTTTCTCAAAAACGTGTAGCAAATTTAAGGGTTAAAGGGAAACTTGTGACTGTTTCTGGTGGAGCAGAGGCAGATGTTTCTCTTCCCTGGTTAATGTTTCCCTTTTGATGGGCCGTATTGTGCCTGGCTGATTGAGCCTGGGACCTGCTCCGACCATGTGGGGCAGTAATACTGAGTTGATCAGTAGCTTTTGTATGGCTGTCACAGACCTGCATTTTCCTTTGGTTTGCGTTATTAAACACCCCGCATGCAATTGGAATAGTAGAAAAGTAACTTCAAGGAGGGGAACTTTGGAGCTTTTGATAATGTGTCACACACAGGGCCTCCCTCACCTCTTCGCGTGGCTGCCTGTCATTTGGGTCTCAGCTTCAAAGATACCCTGTCCTCTGCCAAATCTCCCTGCTCAGTTTTCCACACGGTGGTCATACTTTTGTGTGTTTACATGGCCTCTTTCCTCGAGAAGGAAGCCCCCTGGAACGTTCTCACGCCTGCGTACCTGTGGTGCACTTTCTGAAGCACAGTAACATGTGCTCGATGAACATTTCTTTAATTACTGTGTAAGTGACCCGGATTTTCAGATTAAGAAGACATTTTACATAGACAGAGCACCCCGATTGCTGGGTTGAGATGTTAGCGTGAGTGAATACATAGATTTGCTCTTCTGGTACTGCTTCTTTATGATATTAATAGTTTCGGGTTAAATTAGGGAAGTAGTAATTTTACATCTGTCTTCTTAATTCAGGAAGCTAACACCTTCTCGATGTAGAGGACGGTGTGGGATTCCTTCCCTGGTGCTAAAGAACCCAAGACTCTTAGAGGAGTTTGGGCCTTGGGTGTTTACGTTCTTTTGTTTGGATCTAAACACCCGTCTGTCTGTCTGCCGTGTGGTTCAGAACTTTCCTTCTCGTTCTTTCTTCCTGCTCCTTTGCTGTGTTCTGAGAAACCAGATTACCAAGTTCTTTTGAGCACATCTGTAAAGTTAGAACATAATGATGTGGCCCTTAGGATCATCCCCAGTAAAACACCTGGGCCTCTGGTACTTGGATTCTGAGTGTTCCTAATCATGTATATCTGTATGGGTTTGTATTTAACTTGCTTTTGTATGTGTTCAGGTGAGGTGAGTAGGGTAGGTTTGTTCATTTCACAAATGATTGAACTTCAGAGGACCAGGAACCATGAATAGTGAGGGTGATGGTGGAAAAGTTAGGGTTCTTGCCCTCATGGAGTTACTGACGTGGTTGAGTAGATAAATCATCAGTAGAAGAAATAAGTTACTGATCGTGGTGAGCAGTATAAAGACTAGGAATAGGGAGCTGAGAGAAAAAATTAGGGCTCCTACCTCGGGTAGAGCTGTCAGAGCAAGCTTCACTGAGGAGGCAGCAGACCGGCCATGCTTTTTTCCTCATCAGCTTCATCATGGTAGATTTTACATCCAGTAAAATTACACGTTTTACATGTACAGGTTGATGACTTGATAAATTTAACCACCTCCATGCTTTCACTCGAGATGGAGAATGTTTCCTTTTCCCCAGAAAGTTTCCTTTCTGGAAACGCATGAGTGCATTCATGTTATATGCATTCTTTAGTGTCTGGCTTCTTTCATTTGGTGTAATTCTTTGGAGACTGATCCAATTATAGTATGTTTCAGTTCTTTTTTTTTAAGCTTTATTTATTTATTTTTGAGAGAGAGAGAGAGAAATGTGCACACGGGTGTGTGAGAGAGGGAATCCCAAGCGGACTCTGCACTCTCGGTGGAAAGCCTGACACATGGGGCTCGAATCCACGAATTGTGAGATCATGACCTGAGCCAAAGTTGGACACTTAACCAAAAGAGCCACCCAGGCGCCCCTGTTTCAGTTCTTTTGTTGAGTAACATTTAATTATAAGAATATATCTAATTTTATTTTTTTACCTAATGAGTTGCTCCAGTTTCCTTATGCATACTGTTTAATTTCTTTTCCTACCCTTATGCTTTCATCCTATATATTTATGTTTAAAATGTGTCTTTTTTAGGTAACATATGGTAGGTCTTGCTTCACTATCCAGCCTGGCATTCTCTTCTTCTTAATTGGGTGGTTTAGTCCTTTTATGTTTAATGTAATGATTGATATTTTTTCTAACTTTCTGGCTATTTGTTTTCCATTTTTGTTCCTTTCTTGGTCTTTTTGCCTTTTGGGTTAATTGCATATTTTCTAGGGTCCCATTTTTATTCTGTTGGTTTCTTGGCTACACCACCGTTATGGTTTTATGCATGTTAGTGCAGATGTGTGAACAGCTCAAGATGGTCATTAGGTTCCTTTCGCAAGATGTTCATTAGGTTCCTTGGAGACCTCAGCCAAGACCTTTTTGTCTTGATTGGAAAAGTAGTGGCAGTTCTGTGACTTCAGACCACTCATTCAGTTTGTCCTGTCTCCTCTTGATCTCTCCCTTTTGGGAACTTCAGGTACTCAGGAAGCCTGTTTTCCAGTTAAAACAGGCTGTTACTTTGTTGTTCATCTTTATTAACCTTTGGATAATAATATTATGGTGGCTCAGTCAGTTAAGTGTTTGACGTTGGCTCAGGTCATGATAATCGTGGTTCGTGAGTTCAAGCCCCGCACTGGGCTCTGTGCTGGCAGTTCAGACGCTGGAGCCTGCTTCAGAATCTGTCTCCCTCTATCGCTGCCCCTCTCCCATTCGCCCTCTCTCTCAAGAATAAATAACCATTAAAAATTTTTTTTTTAGAAAAGTTACTTTACCAGAAAAGTGAGCTTATTCAGGAATAGCTGAGAATTGCTGTCTGCGACATGCAAGCTATGCCAAGCCATAAGCAAGTCCCACAGACAAAGGAGAGGGACATTATTTTATGGAGGGGGATGAAGTTGGGAGGTGTTGTTGTGAATGAAAGTAAATGGGAGGGAAGCAAGAGTTCAGGGGGATGACAGTTTTTCATTGGCTCATTGCTGTAGTAGTCCGTTTTTGGTAGGAGATTTTAACATCTTTTCCTGTTGGTGCCCATAATTCTTTTCCTGTTGAGGATTCTTCTGTTGGAGTCTGTAATTGATCATTTTCCCTGTAATTAACCTGGAGAGGCATTGGCTCCCCCTCTGGCCTCCCACCTCCATTATAGTGATGCTTCCCGATATATATTAGTTCTCCCAGAATGCCCTGGGTAAGTAAGTACAGGCCAACTCCAACTAATAATGTTTTCTGGCAGTTGAGTCGATTGTAAGAATTTGCCATAAAAATCTTACTAGTGGTGCCTGCCTGTGCTCCCTCCCCTAGTTCTGAGCAACCTCCCTGGTCGTTCTGAAGTTGTTCAGTGGCTCCTCCTGCTGCAGAGAGCTGAGGATGGGGTGTTTTGGGTGTGGAAGGAAAGAATATACGTTATTCCAAGACTCCTCCTCTGCTGCCTTTCCATCCCACACCTGGGGAGACAGTATTAGAAAGTCGCTTTCGGCACGTTTTTTATGCCTTGCGTTCTCTCAGCCACATATTGCCTTGGCACAGAATATTTCTTACTCCTGGGCAATGTTTTGGGAACTCCATTTTCTTATTCAAGAGATTTGTCTCTTACGCTCTGTTCTCCGTCCACACAAAGCTGTTATTAGAAGGTGAACTTAGCAATCTTGTTTGTGTTTGCTCTTTTTTAGTCGAGCAAAAGATGTGATAGTACCAGCAAAGCCACCTGTCAGCTTTTTCTCTTCGAGGTCTCCGGTTCTTGACCTCTTCCAGGGGCAGCTGGACTACGCAGAGCACGTCCGCCGGGATTCCGAGGTGGTGCTGCTGTTCTTCTACGCGCCATGGTGTGGCCAGTCCATCGCGGCCAGGTCCGAGATTGAGCGGGCAGCGAGTCAGCTTTCAGACCAGGTAATGCTGACGTGGGGTCTAAGCATTGCATGACTGTGTGGGGGCGGGTTGTTCCCGGAGCACGCCTTACCCAGCTGGCAGATGTAGGCAGGCTGAGGGCCAGGAGCCGGACTTGATTGATGGGAGGACCTTTGTAAAGAAAAAGGATTTCTGATTGTGAGGGTCGTAGTTGGTTAGAGGCAGGAGAGGGAGCGGATTGAGGCAGCTCAGTGCTCCCCTCAGGGGCCCATGCTGTTTGGTTTCAGTGCTGGAAAGCCTAGCTGACTATCCTTTTGATATTTGTTGATGACTTCCTTACCATAAGGCAAATTCACGTGTCGTGACTACAGCGTAACAGTATGTAAAAATGCTTGGACCAGAGCTGTATGTAACAGGCAGTTCATGAAGGTCACCTGTGTGCCAGACAGAGGGATATATGGGCAGACGAGTACTCCCTATGGCAGCGGTTTTCAACTCAGTGGATCCCAGCTGCCACTTATAAAACAAGTATTTTATGATGTGCCATTTTATGTCCTGAAAAGGAATTCATAGATGATAAAATTTCCCTACACGTAGAATTTCAAGATACTCAATCCAACACACTGACTATTGCATAAAGGTGAGGGAAACCAAAGGAATGTATAATTAGATGATGTGTGTTTCAGTATGTAAATGCCCGGGCAAAGTAGTTTCTGGTCCCTTTATATGGAACTACCAGGGTGGGCAGTGTGAAATGCAGTTTCATAAAAGTGTGCTGTGTTGGAGACCAGTTACCTTAGTGGCTCTGCTCTCAGGGATGTCAGTTTCCTGAATGGTGAACGGCTCTTGGTAAAGGCTGGAGCCAGAGTCTTCTCTGCCCTCTATGTATATAGGAGCTGCCTTCCAGAGAAATTCGGTGAATACGAAAGCCGTGCTTTGGATTCACATAGAAAATGCAGTTGGGGCCCAGGCTTGAATAGTAACAAACAGGTTTCCCCCACACCATTGCTGTCAGGACCTTTAAAGCTGCTCTGGGATGATGCCACAGAGCCCCAGACCCATGCCTACCATGGCCCCGGCCCACCACGTGCCCTGCAACTTCCGGGTCATTGCCACAAGCATGAGAGCACCCGTCGGGGGGAGCTGGGGCCCCAAGTCTTTGGAACCGTGGGTTGGTTCTTCTTAGAAACGATGTTATAAATGCTGGGGAGGCTTTCTGCCCAGCCTGGCAAAGGCTTTTGAACCATTATATGTATCCCTGCTTGTGGTGCAAAGCTCTGTTTGCAAATCTGGCTCCTTATAGGGGCGCCTGGGTGGCTTAATTAAGTGTCTGACTTCAGCTCAGGTCATGATCTCATGGTTGGTGGATTCAAGCTTCATGTCGGGCTCTGTGCTGACAGCTTGGAGCCTGGAGCCTGTTTCGGATTCTTTGCTTCCCTCTCTCTCTGACCCTCCTCTGCTCATGCTGCCTCTCTCTCTTTCTCAGAAATAAATAAATCATTTAAAAGAATAAAAATAAATAAATCTAGCCTCTTGTAACTTTATTTCCTATGACATGGACTCTGAGAGGGTGTGATTCTGTGTTCTGACTTGGGACGCAGGGGATTGATCAATTCCTCTGCTCCCTTTACACCCCACCTGTTTTAAAAATGGCTGTTAAGAGCTGCTCCTGGCTGGCTCAGTTGGCAAAGCATGTGACTCTTGATCTCAGGGTCATGAGTTCAAGTTGGGGCAGTAGAGCTTACTTTAAAAAAATGCTAATAATCGAACTGGGTAGACAGTTCGAGGGAGGAAACAGGAACTCTGATGGAGCACGGGGAGGCAGGCGATATGTTAGCCTAAAAAAAATCACCACTCCCTTTCCCAGGCCTTCCCCCTGTTTGCTGAAATTAGAGAACATGTGGGGGACACGGGGAGAATCTGCTGTGTTCTAGGGTGTTGGTCATTGGCTGTCTACCTGTCAGCTGAAGCAGTGTGTCCTTCCGAGTGAGTGTGGGAAGGGCGTGCTGGTGTGCCGGGCGCCGAGCTGCGTCTCCCGGCCGCTCTGCGGGCTGGTGCGGGCGTCCGTGCTGTTGGGAGCCACCTCCATGGCGGACCAGCTGTGGCTGCAGAGCCCCTGACACGTGGTGGGGTGACGGTGCTGTCCACCGCTGACGGGCACTGCTTTTTCACATTTTTCTCCCAGCTCCTTCCAGATTGAGAGCTTAGATTATTCTGTGTTCTCACCAGGGAGAAGGAGGGGGTTTATTCTTGGAAACAGGCAAAAATCTTTTGAGCTGCACCGCTTAGTAAAATTTGCAGACGTGGTAGAGTGTGCCCTATTTTTGAATAAAACAATGAGATGTCTCCTGAAGTAAAGAAACGGTGGCTTTTCTGTTTTCATAAATGGACTCTAGAAGGAGTTTCATAGAGCTTCCCCAGGGGTCAGAGCAACACTGCTATCCGGTAAGTGTAAGGAAGGCATTTGAAAGTGGTTTTCTACTTGTAGTTTTCATATTTTTTCCAATATTCTTAGGAAAATTCCTTCACACAGCAAACACGGAAGAGTTTTATATATACCTGCCACGTAAATTGTGCTGTTAACGTTTTATTTTGCTTGTTTTAGCGTGTACTTGTTCATCTCACTGTTCCTCTAGTCAGTGGTTCCCACCGAGAGGAAGTTGTCTCCCCAGAGAGCCCAGGGCAGTGTTTGGGGCCGTTTTTGGTTATCGCTGCTTGAGAGGCCAGGCCGCTGGCGTGTAGTGGGTAGAGGCCAGGCTGCTGGTGGACACTGCACGTCCAGGGTGGAGGATGGGCCCTCACAGCAGAAACGCACGTAGCCCAGGCCCTCCTGACGACGGAAGGCCAAAGTGTCCGTCGTGCCAATGTCGAGAAACTGCTCTAATCTATTAACTCATCTTGGTTTTGGGACATTTCACAGTAGATTGCAGATTTAAATACTTCTGCGTCTACCTGTAAATATGCATTTAATTCATATTTTTGCTGTTTAATATTACATTTTAGAGCATGCTTTAATTATCTCTTATCCTTAATCATTTTTAATGTAGTTATTAAGAGTGGTCCTTTGGCATTTGTGATGTTTCATTGGCAGGGAACTCTTTTTTTCCTTCTCACAGGCTGAGTCTGACTATCAAAAGACTCAGCCTGTTTGCTCATTGACTTTAGAATTCAAAGCAAATCTGGGCACCTGGTGACTCTGTCGGTTAAGCGTCCGACTTCGGCTCAGGTCATGATCTCACGGTTTGTGAGTTCAAGCCCAGCATCGGGCTCTGTGCTGACAGCTCGGAGCCTGGATCTTGCTTTGGATTCTGGTCTCCTCTCTGCTCCTCCCTTGCTCTCTCTCTCTCTCAGTAATAAATAAACATTAACACATTTTTTTTTTTTTTTAGGATTCAAAGCAAATTGTTTCTCTCTTGGGCTACTAAACTATAAAATGCTACTAAAATGCTAGTTTCCCAGCTAGACACTATAGATGAGTCTTTCATTTTAATTGCAGTCGTAAATGATGATCTTTGAATACTCGAAATCGTTTTTTTCACACTTTCTGTTTCAGAGAGGAATGGTTGCATTTCTATAATTTTATCTTTCAAATTTTGGTAATTTTTCGGCTGTTATTTATAGTCACTGGAAACCTTTTGTTGGCTTTGCAGGTGTTGTTTGTGGCGATTAACTGTTGGTGGAACCAGGGGAAATGCAGAAAACAGAAGCACTTCTTCTATTTCCCCGTAATATACCTGTACCATCGAAGGTAAGAACTGCTGACCAGTTTTGTGGTTGTGATTTCTCATTCCAGTTGAGTTCCAAAGTAAATTCTTTTGTCTGTTTCAAAGTATTAGATATTCCCTGTAGGAAACTGAGGAAATGCAGAGAAGTAAAAAAAAAAAAAAAAAAAACGAATAAAAGGATCTGGGTGTTTCATCAGCCCTACATAATTGCTGCGTGTTTTCGTTGATACCCTCCTGTGACTATACACACCCAACCTCTTTTTTTTTTTTTAATGAAAAAAAGGATCGTGTAGCAACAGTGTTTTCTAAACTGCTTTTTCTTGTTTTTGTGAAAATCTTCTCATGCTGTTACATAGTCTGCAGCATTGTTTCTGGCTACCCCATTGTGTGGCTGTACATTTCGGATACTCTACGAGTATTTTATTGTATGAAAACACACAGAAGTCCTTATCCTGTTACCTGACAACATAGCATAGTCGGGAGGAAGTCTTAGCACCCTTTCAACTGGGAAGAAAATTATGATGAGTCCGCAGTCTGGTGCCCATAATACTGAAATCTAGAGAGCTCTGAAAACTTAAAAGGTTTGCATGAATTTTGTCCCCCAATGCATTCATCTAGCCCGAAGTGACCAGGGGCTGCCTTTAGTCTTTATCCCGCTCAGGGAGTCAGTTTATTCTGCACAAATCTTGATGTTTGAGTTTGAAGTCCTGCCCAGACCTTGCTGTGTGTGTTAAATAATGCCTAAAATCTGACGTGAAGAATTTTGAAGATAGGAGATAGCTTCAGGGTGATTGGCTTGAAGTTTGTTAATGAAGGTGAAATGGGTAATGAAGATTTCATTAGGAGGAGCTTTACTTTTTATGCCTTATTTTTTTCGCTCCCTCTGTCGGCACTTCCTGGGCTTTCATCAAGGGTGATTTATAACAGGCGTCAAGCTATCATTTGTGGACTATCTGTCATGGTCCATCACACTTCATGTTTCCCGTATAAAAATGTTGTGTGGCACATAGTGTTGTTTCTTAGGAGCTGTTAAATAATATTTTAAGCAAAAATGGACTTTTTTACCCCATCTCCATCTTCAAAGTTTCTTCTAGATATAAGAATCCTCACAAGGTGACGTGTTATATTTGAAGACGTAAAAGCTCTGTGCCCTGTAATGGGATAAATAGGCTTGCCCTGCGAAGGCCCCTGCATTTCTTTTCTGGGGGTGGGGTGGGGTGGAAGGGCTAGGAAGTAGGGCAGAGGTGCCTAGCCAGGAGGATAGGCCTTGCGAGCCGAGGTAACCAAGCCAGCTGCCCAGAGGTGGGCTCAGCTCGATGTGACAGTACAGTCAGGATGGGTCCCTTGAACTGAGTACAGAACAGCATTTGGGGTTATACGGCTCTGTAGTGTATTGTCTCAGACTGTGCTCTTAGGTTTATAGAAAGATTGCAAGGACATACAAGGAACTTCAGAAACGTCTAGTCCCACTTTGTCATTTTCCTGATGCGGGGTTTGAGGTTGGGTACTCCCCTTGAAGTGCTTGCTCCTCATCTTTGCCTGTTCAGTTTTACTTGTTTAAATTAGTTCGGACCTATTAATAATCCTTTCAGTATCCACTATTCCCAGTGTACCCAAAACAGAAGGAAGTGCTAAGGCACAGAAATACCTAAAAAGTGACCTTTTCATCTTCTGTATAAGAACCTTCCAGTCCTGTTTTGTATGTAACGCTTACGAATGGATGTGTTTCTTCAACCAGGCTCTCCTGTGACCAGTCAGTAGTCTTGAGGTTGTTTTGGGTAATAGCGCTTGCAGATGTGGCCCTTGGGCCTCCTCACTGGGCAGACCATTGCAGCTTGTATTTTTCTTGTTGATGGTGGTTTTGTAATGGCTAAACTAATGTAGTAGTAGCTGCTTGAAGAAATTAATAGACTTTCTGTTTTGCTTAAGTAGATTCCATTTTTTGGCGTGTGTCGATGCCAGTCACTAAGAAAGTTTATTACAGGGTCCGAAGCAGGGAGTGGTTTCTTAAACACTCTGCACGAGGCTCCGCAGCCCTGGACCAGCCTGTCCCGTGGTTGCGTGCGCTCTGCATCCTGCCTTCTGAGGTATTCTCCGCTTTCACAGTCGCCGGGGTCCTGAGAGCACCCCTGCGGGAGCCTGTTTGCCTGAGGAGATGAGGTTTCCAGACTTTTGGCTCCTTTTTGCTGAAGAAAACACATTATCAGATGATTTTTCAATTTCTTCCTTTAAATGAAAAATTGTTGGTAGCTGATGGGGTTGTGCTGGTGGTAGTGTTTGAACTTGTTAGTGACGAGTCTTGAATTGATAGAACCGTTAACTCCGTCTCCCAGGTGTGCACATAGCGTGCCGTTGTTACTTTTCTCATGCTAATATTCTTCTGTTTGGCATCATATTTTGCAGTACACACTGAAGAATTGTGTTCATTGCATCACATTATATGTGTGTGTTTGTTTATGTAACCATTTACTATTGGGAGCTCTCAGCATTTATGTAATTCTTCACTCTGTTTAGTGTTGCATTAAGCAGCCAGCACAATGTCCGTTTCTATTGAGTCAGAAGAAGGTTATGCAGTCACTGAATTTCACCTCACTCCATTGCCGCACCTCATGCCCTTCAGTTACATTTGAGCAATGTCTGTTTTGTGTAAGATCGAAGAAAGCCATGTGAGGATTCTGATTCGCTTAGAAGGATAAGTGAATGTTGGTATTATTGTTTAGCAATGCTAAATCAAATTCCTATGTGTCCCTAAGCTGGAAAGGAAAAGAAGATCATTTTTGCAGGTCCCTGACTTTGTCCCTTTACGTAATCTTTTTTTGTTGCAATAAAGCTTTAATAGGTTTAAGGTTATTTAGTGATCCCTTATGTAAGTGCCTGTGGGAATATTTAATAAGTACATTTTAGTAGGTCAAGGGCCAACTGCGTAGCTTCTTTTTTACTTAAGAGTGGTTGTATGGGGCGCCTGGGTGGTTCAGTCGGTTAAGCCTCCAACTTTGGCTCATGGGTTCAAGCCCTGACTTGGGCTCTGCGCTGACAGCTCAGAGCCTGGAGCCTGCTTCCAATTCTGTGTCTCCCTCTCTCTCTCTGCCTCTCCCCCACTTATGCTCTGTCTCTCTCTCTCAAAAATAAATAAACAATAAAAAAAAATAGAAGCATGATGTGTAAAAGTAAGTTCTGCTTGCTGAATTATGTAGTTAAGATCCTGGAATCCTTTAGCAGTTTTGGTCAGTTTCCAGGATTGCCTTTCTGTTTGGTTTTGTTTTTTAAAGAACTACTGTGTTGGGAATTGTTTTTCTTCAGAAGCCAGGATGAATGTTTTTTGTTTTGAAATTCCGTTGCAGTTGAGCTAAGCTCATAGGACAGTAGTGGCTGTGTGTACCTCCCCCCACGTTAAGCGCTTAGTTGGGTCTCTATTCACCTGCCGGGACACAGAAGGCTCTTTACCTGTGAGGCAGTCAGGATCCTCAAGCGAGACGTTTGCGTTTTGTGGTGTTGATGATTTCAGCTCTACGTAACAGGTTTAATGCATGGTGTATTATTTTTATTTGTTTTTTATTTATTTTTTATTTTTTTTGGTACTAGTTTTGGACCAATCGAATACAAAGGCCCCATGAGTGCTGTTTACATTGAGAAGTTTGTCCGCCGGGTGATGAAACCACTTGTCTACATCCCATCTCAATCAGAATTACTAGATTTTCTCTCAAACTACGAGGTACTTGTCTTTCATATCTCCTCCCGTCCCCGAGGCTCCACCGGGTGGTGTTGGATTGTGTTTATTGGAAGGGTTTTTTTATACCTCCTGATTTGCAGCAACGAAAAGACCGCATTATAGATAAGTTCCAATCAAATGCTTTTTGAGGTACTTGATTGTAGGGACGGTTTGGCCCAGTGAGTTTTAAGAGAAAAGAACACTTGTAAAGCCTTGTGAATTTTTCACTTGGGAATTTCCAGCAGAGTTTCTGTTTGTCTTATGATGAACTTAGAGCATGTAAGAATTGCCGTAGAAGTTACCTGCACCTGCATGTGTGTGAGCATTGTGTTTGACGCTTCGTGTGTATTCCTGTGAGCTCCTCAGTTTCCCGTGTCAGTTGTAGTTTACCTTTAAGAAAACTAGGAAAATGTGCCTTTCTGTTTAGTAAAGTGCATAACTATTTCAAGTCCTCGTTAACAGAAAGCTTCCTAACGTGGCTTTTCTGCTACTTTCCCATTGGCAACTTCATCCCCTGATCAGTTATTTTTGTGGGATCATCAGTGTGTATTCAGGACAGCTTATTACTTGAGAGGCCAGTACCCAGCTCAAAATAACCTCAGCAGATTATAAGAATAGTTCACCAACAAAATTCACCGGAGCAAGTGTAAATCACGTTTGGGTGCAGCAAGTAAAAATGGTACTTAGGTAGAACAAAGTCAGTACCCTAAGTATCTGAGAGATAAACCCTATGAATCCAGACCTCACTGAGGGATTTAGTCATTGTGACTGGGTTGGATTTTACCTTTTGCATTAGGGAGGTTTTCTGTACACTGGACATGAATTTCTTTCACTGGGACATTATTTACAGCTTTTTCAGTCAAGTTAGCAACACTCTTAACATGTTAACTGTGGGTAGATTCCCTGGGCAGCAGTGTTAATATCTAGTTATTCGACTTGTAAGTTCTCAGATGTCAATTAGTGTCCTTGGTCTCATGTGGATACCGGACAGGTTGCTGTGCCTTCACGGGCTCGTCTCGTTCTGCCCGGGCACACTGGTGGGCGGGAGCTGCACTGGGAGGCAGGGCACCTGGGCCTCGTCCTTTGGCAGCACTAACTGGATCTGTGACTCACGTGCAGGCATTGGGGGCCTGGAGCAGGGTATTTCATCCGTAGGTGCAGTAATTGTGTGGTAAGTGGGTTTTCACATAGGTTTGCAGTAGGTGGCAGAGGCACGGAGGCAGGACAGCAAGATGGTGACGAATTAGGACTTAGACGCCGAGCTCCATCGCTCGTTGGCTCTGTGGCCTGTGGGCTACATAATTTCTTTAAGCCTCCGTGGCTCATCTGTAAACGTAAGACGTGAAAATGCCTAATGGGATGTAGTCCCGATAAATGATAACTTATCAGTAGAAATGACATCGTGGAAAAATCCTGGATACTCAGCACTGTTGAGAGAACCCCTCAAGCGCATAGTACTTCCTGGAACTCCCTGCTTATCTAAGAAATCTTTTGTTTGCAGGGGCAGTGAGGTTTTCCTTCAGGTCAGCTCTGTAGGGACTTTTAGAGAACACTCTGCCTAGTTTTGCTTGAAACCTTCGGTTGTTTTTCTTGACATTTTCCCTCAGTCTCTCTTAAAAAGTAAAGCGAGATGGCAGCAGAGCGATGGCATGTGTACGTACACACACACACACACAGACACACACACACACAAATATGGAGAAAGTTGAGATCATTTAGCCTTGTAATAAGAGCACCAAGAGGTGACTCTGTTACTATTTTCAAATGCCCTGTTGGAGATTGGTATCCAGAGAGTTCTAAGCCAGCACGCAGCAGGGATCGCGTGATCAGGAGGACTCGCTAGAATTTGAGAGGCCTGCATTTCATGCCTGACATTTGCAAGTCTCTGATTTCTGAGTTCTACACAGATTTTTCATCTATTCAGATTTCTCATCTGATTAAGCAATTGGATCAGATAATCCCTCCTGTCTGGATGGGGGAGGTTTAGAGGCTGGAAAGAGGCAGGCAGAAGCAGGTTCATCGGTTGTCGGTTGGGGAAGTCCTTTTTATTCATTATGTCCGTAGTGCCTCTGTGGTTGGATCTACAGGACAGGGACAGGCCCCCCTTAAGGACTGAGCCGCAAGGCTGAGGCCTTCCCTTTAGCCTCTGCGTTCTCTGCTCTTCAGCAGTGCTCCCGGAGACGGTGCTCCGAGCTTGGCACCAAGTCCACATCAGATGCAGGGACGTGTGTTGCTCGAGGCTGTTTCGCAGCCCACTCGGTCAGAGTGATGTGCAGCGGTGACGAGACTGCCTTGGAGACAGGAGTGTGGGGCCCTCGGCAGTTTCTGTCGGCCTCTAAAGCGCTTCCTCCCGAAGTGGTGGATGGCTTTTATCATGTCAGTATTATCTTTCACTGGGCCGCTTCTCAACGGAGATGAAATTGTGTGGTTGGCAAGTGACAGTATTTGATTAATGGTGGAAGAAATGGGGAGTCAGGCCCATCATGGGGCGTGTGAAACCGCTCATCTGTGAACCATTCCAACGGTGCATAGGTGAGGTCTCGGCTTCATACACACTCTTTTTTTTTTATTGTTTTACTTATTTCTGATAGACCGCGTGAGCAGGGGAGGGTTAGAGAGAGAGGGAGACACAGAATCTGAAACAGGCTACAGGCTCTGAGCCCATGTGGGGCTCGAACCCACGAACCATGAGATCATGACCTGAGCTGAAGTCAGATGTTTAACCGACTGAGCCACCTGGGCGCCCCTCATACACACTCTTTATGAGATGGCGCAGTGGCAGAATTCTAGCTCCAGAAATGAAGCCACTGTCAGGGCTTTGAGACTTGAGGAGAGAGAGGAAGGGTGAAGGGATTTTTGGAGGCCCCCGTACACTTGTGGGTGTTCCTCTTAGTTCAGGTTTCTCAACCTCAGCATGGTTGGCCCTCGGAGTCAGATGATGGTATGTTTGGGGCTGGGGCTGTCCCATGATTTCCAGAATGTTTAGCAGCTTTCTTGGCCTCCACCTACTGGATACCAGTAGCACTCCCTTTCCCCGCTTAGCTGTGACAACCAAAAATAGCCAGGTATCGTCATATGTCCCTTGTGGGGTGGTGGGGAGGAGCAAATCACTGCAGTTGAGAACCTCTGTTCTAAGTTACTGTTTTCCCAAATAAGACCTTAGATGTCTAGCAAGTATTAGTAAAAACACATCTTTTTTCATGCAGCACAAAGAGTGCCACCATCTGATTGTTGCAAGCTTATCTGCCTGTAACAGGGCAGAGAGAATATGAAAATAAAGCAGTGCTTGACTAGAAAGTTTTGGAGTGCTCTCTGTGGAGGATTAGAGACAGGAGTGAGATATGGATATGTATATATATATATATATATATATGTATATTTCATATATGTATGGGGGTTTTTTGGTTTTTGTGAATTTTGGAGAGCATACAAGCAGGGGAAATGGGCCGGGGTGGTGGGAGGATCTTCGAGCAGGCTCGAGGCTCAGTGCAGAGCCTGATCCAGGGCTCACTGTCATGACCCTGGGATCATGATTTGACCCGAAATCAAGAGTCAGACGCCCAACCAACTGAGCCACCCAGGTATCCCGGGAATGACTTGTATGGTCATCAGGAGAGCTGTCTCTGATACTTGACCTTTCAGTCAAATTGTTACTGCCCCTCCCCCAAAAGCATGCTTCCTAAGTATGTTAAGGATCCTGCTAATTTACAGATATCTTACTATGGAAGATACTTATTTCCATCAAGATCCTTATCTCCTTATTTATGTTTTTTATAAGTAGGGATTTCAGTATCTAGCATGTTTAAATTTGAGTATACCAGAATTAGGCTAAGTCATTACTTAATCTTTCTGTGACGCATCTGAGATTTGTTAGAATGTTCTTGCCTTTTGCTTCTGTCTCTAGCTGTGTTTGTGACATCTTGTAGGAATGCATTTGGTAATTTCCCCTCATTACAAAAACCATTTTAAAAAAAAATTTTTTTTAATGTCTATTTATTTTTGAGAGAGAGAGAGAGAGAGAGAGTGAGAACAGGAGAGGGTCAGAGAGAGAGGGAGACACAGAATCCGAAAGCAGGCTCCAGGCTCTGAGCTGTCAGCATAGAGCCCACGCGGGGCTTGAACTCACATGAGATCATGACCTGAGCCAAAGTCGGATGCTTAACCGACTGAGCCACCCAGGCACCCCTAGAAAAACCGTATTGATTAATTATGTTTGTCTCTTTTTAAAAAAATTTTTTGAATTCTTTATTTTATTTTTGAGAGAGAGACAGAGGGCGAGCAGGGGAGGAACAGAGAGAGAGGGAGACACAGAATCTGAAGCACGCTCCAGGCTCTGAGCTGTCAGCACAGAGCCAGACATGGGGCTTGAACTCACAAACTGTGAGATCATGACCTAAGCTGAAGTCAGACACTTAACCACCTGAGCCACCCAGGTGCTCCTATAAGTTTGTCTTTAATCCAGATATTTGTGAGTATGGGCCGTTAGAAAATTGTGCCATTAGTATTTAGTACTTGGGAAGTGATGGTATTCTGAAATTAACAACTTTGATTGTAAACTTCTATTATATTGTCTGTATCCTGACCATATGTGTATATGCTTGTGTTGCTCTGATACCTCAAACCTGTCCAAATCCGTTTGTTTGTCATAAGCCTAGTTTTCTGTTGGTAGAGTGTGACTCTGAGCCCAGTTGCAATGTTTAGGAAAATAATTTTGCCTTTGACTTTACTGAACATCACAGAAAGACATTAAAGGGTGAATATTATAAGTATTCTGTAAATCCCAAAATACTTAGCTGATTATTAGCAAACAAGAGTGTGTAAATTAGCACTGGTAAGTGCCCTCCAGTGTTCACATGCTTTTACTTCTGATCCTCCTAAAAGCCATGGGAGATAGAAATGACGAGATCCTTCTGAACAGATTCAGAAGATGGGGTACAGAGAGGGTATAATTTAACCCTCAGTGGAGACTGGACTGTGCCTGAGAGCTTCTTGCTTCCCAAGTT